GAAAGTGGACGCGGACCAACAAGTGCAAACCCCGTCCCAAAATGATTTGGGACGAGTATCCATTTAGTCAATCAGTCACTAAAGTGACTGATGGTTAAGGGGGGTGATGTAACGGGGTGAATCGTTACATAACAATTTATAAGAAATTGTTAATAGAATATAACTATAAGAGTTATATTCTCAGAATATTGTCATAAGGACAATATTCTGTAGCACTTCCAAGTAGTTCCTAATTGGTTGATATAGGCCATTATATCAACCAACGAAGACGCGCCACGACAGACGCACGCAATGAGTGGTGAGCAGATAACTGATTTACACATTTGTATTTAGACATAGTTAGATGAAGATAAATAGTGATTTATTGCAGACATTAACTATTATAAATACAGTTCTACTTTTTACTCTAACCAAGTACTCGCTTCTTCTTACCGTCTTCCTCTGCACGTACGAGTGTACGTGAAGTTACGAGGCACCGCCTTATTCTGTTATCAGAATAAGTAGCTTGTACTGTCACCAGTACAAGCTTCAGGGTGCCCCGTTACAGTGCTTGGATTCCGCAGAGATGAACCCTTGCACTTGAGCCAGGTAATCTTTCTTGTTACATAAGAGAACGCTGCTTAATTACGCTCGGTATTCGTTTACCCGACCTGGTGGGTGCTGCGCTAGACAGAGCTACTTCAAACTTCTTACCACGGAAATTCTGCTTCCGTCGTTTTTCTGAGCTGTCTACCGGAGTGACCACACCTTTCTAGTGCGAACTACAGCAAATATAGAAAAGTATTGCATTGAGTGTTCAATACGCGCTATTGAAACAATAAATTTTCTTAACAGCGAGGTGGCCATCGCTGCAAAGGAGTCCGGGTCTCTTGTTGCAAAATTCATCGTAAAAAGCTGCCCTTGCGTTGGCTTTGACGTCTGGCTCCATTGATATCAGCAGTATCACCCCTTTTTCCACTATCGTCGCGTCACTTGCACGAGTTCGTTTCACAACCGCAGCATGCACTCCACAATCATGTCGCCCCTGGGGATCCGAAGACCTATAAGTTTTGCATACACATCCTAAAGCGAATTGGCTTATCACAAATTTGTGCTTGGCTCATACGAACGAAGAATTCTAGCTTGCTGCTTTCATGGCAAAGGAGGAACGTGAGTAGCGGTCGCGGACGCTCTCCCAAGACAGCTTGAACTTTTATGGTTGAGGGCCCCTCAAGAACATTAACAGTCGTTTTGTCCACTTGCTCTTTCTTACTACAATTTAAATGTAGTTTTCTTTGTAAGCGATAGCGGACCATCGGTATTGTAAACCTCTGTAGCAAACGAAACGTACTGCGTAAACACTCATGGAAGCTGGCAGAAACTTGTCCACGGTACCCCGAAACGCGCGGCAGATCGAGAATGCAATGATGGTGTAAGTGCCTTGGATACGTAGTCCTAAGCTAAGGTACCTTTTGTATTAGTCGTGAGTACTCTGAGATGTCAATAGTGTCACTGTCTGAAACAGGCCACAACCGCTGATACGACGAGGTGCAGTACGTGCACGCCAACCCATGATTCAGAGCTTGCTTATGTGCTCACAAAAACTGTTGTGAGTTGTTCGTTGCGTATTAATGAATTGTCACAAGAATCCAAACCAAGCACTCTCCCAAAACATTAGTCGTGCTTGGACGTTGAATGTCCACATGGCTGTAACGTACCAGTTCTTCGGGTCTCCCAAATACATCCTGTACCTTGCTAAGCGGCTTCAACATGCCGAAACTAGTTACGTGCTAGAATCAAGAGAAGAATCAAGTTACTCAAACTGGCAGCGCAAACTTATGTCGCGGAGAGTTGAAAAGAAGCCTACGAAGCTCGACCGTGGGTTCACGCCACACAGCCAACGGAATCTGAAGCTTTGCCGCAGCCACCTGACCAAATTGCAGGGATGCCGAAATAGTGGCCAGGAACACTTGGTTGCGTATATCGATCGCCACTAATTGTCGAGGCTGCAAGGTGAGAGAGAGGTCGCATCTTTATTGTTCTTGCACGCCCAAGACAACACTGGATCTCGTCTATCGATGCTTGATTCACGAACATTCTTCTCTGAGGTGAGCTCGTAGTGATGGCAACGATCGGAGTCAGCAGCGTCACCTGACGCAGCGGATCGTGAAGAAAGGGATAGCAGCGCGTGCAGGAATTAGTATTATATTCGTGAGTGACTCCACGACCTTGGGGCCCAGGAGGTACCGTGGGCATTATTTACGTGGTTTGAAGGCAGAATGGTCGCTCTAGTCAGAATAAGTTCAAGCAAGCGCATGAGCGGCATCGTACTCACTGGTTACTGTAGTAGCAAGTAGCGTCTCGCAGCTAGAGCTCGCCATGTTGTAATGTGTACCAAGCCTATGGGCTACTAATCGAGCTGTAAGACAGCCTACTTCAAAGGACAAAGGACACTAGTTGTTGACTTTCTTGGCGACGACGGCACCAACTACACTTACGCAACCACAAACACGCGGCACTCGAGTCTGTGCAAGGGGTGATACATTGTCTCAAGAAAACGAGGGTGATCCCGCCATTTCTTGGGTGTATCGAGCGGCCTTGAGACTCATGTCTTGACCGCTCTCCAGAGCAATAGATATCTGGTACCTCCCTTAACCACGTCAGCCGTCTTACAATTGTTTTGGAGAGAGGCTCAGACTGTCTATTACAGCTACTTATCACTAATAAGAAGTCTGGTTGTGTGGTAACCACCGCATGTCAACTGCCATGACTCAGTCTTACTTCACAATTGTGTTGGTAAATCTAGATTTTTAAGATGAAGTCTTCATTCCAGACGCTGTTTCTTGAGGGTAGGAGGGATCGACTTTAGAGGCAGCGTACGTAGACCAACAAAAATTATCCTGTCTCACGTATATGGCCTACCGATATGACCTTGCTCCACGATTCATAGCCCACCTTCTGACAAGGCAGCACAGCTGTGAAGACGTCCGGAATTATTTGAGCCATGACTCGTGTCGTCTGGATCATGCCGGACGTCACGAACGACAAGGAGACAGAAAGATCGATACAAATCGCGATATGCACAATGCTCTCCCCAATAATCATACATCCACTTCCATAGGCTGCAGCGACCAGTCTGATCTCAACGAAATTACCCAGCCATTCTGGACACAGTCCCGTTATCTTGAAACCTCGTAGACACGCGCGACAGCGACCCGACGCGATTATCGACGAACGTTTGGCAGCCAACGGGCTCCATCCGTCCAGTTCCAAGCTCGCGGTTTCCACGTTGCCACCATAATCAGCCCTCATCGATTCGTGCCCTAGAACGCTGCGACGTGGTCGGGCCATCCATTTCCTAGTCTTGGCTCCCATCAGTTTCGAATGCCTTGACGTTTGGCGTTCATGTGCTCATATCTGTACCATCGGAGGTGGAGACGTCCGTGATGCTGCACTATAACGTCGATCGTGGAGTCACTACGGTTGCTGCACGAACTCGGGGGATGCAGCGACAACGCCTACGCTTCGTTTCGTTTTTACTACATCCGAAGCAGGAACTTGCTCGGGCATTATCGAGCATGTGGGATAAGAGCGTGCGCGCTCGAAATGTCCAGATGGGTTGGCATCCCTCCGCACACTTCGTATCATGGTCGAGCTCGCTAGCCAGTGTCATCGGGTCTGCAGGTGTCGAGAAGCGAGTGAGCCGCGTCTACATGCAGAGGCCACTCACACACACGCGCGATCGACTTCTGAGTCTTCCACGAAGGTGATGTCAATGCTTAGTAGCGCTAGGAAGTCATGTGACAAGTGATGGCAAATTGATATGAATAGAGCATCTGAACGACCGCGTGATCTCAACTACCGCATACTCTTGTTCATGCGCGCTCCTTACATTCACTATAGTAACGTATATCGATCGGAGCCTTTGCGTCCAGAACTAGGACGCAAGTTCACATTACTATTCCTCGATCAAGGTCAGGACAGTGTCGGGCTTCATTGCTTGTTGAAAGTTCCTGCGAGGGAGTAACGGAAAACGGCTGGTCAAAGCCTAATGATGCGACAAAGTGCCGCGTGGCGCCGTCAGTCTCGATGTCTTTTGAACGAGCGCATGAAAAGAACGAACACACGGATTGCGTCCTGTGCTTCCAATCGTAGATAAAGACACGTAGGACTTTGGCTGGCTGATCGCCAGCCTGATCGCCAGCCTGGCTCCTGCATCTGGCGAAGTGGGTAAGCTTTGAAACCGGCTTGTCCGCTATCATGTGCAGCCAATCCGATGGCAGCAGTAGATTTTTCTGGAAGAAGAATCGTCATGCGCGTAGAGGACAGAACCAGTTCTGACATCGGGGAAAGACTGGCTTGCCATATTGTAGGAGCGAAACGGTGCAACGAGCGATGCGCAGCTGCGTATGCCTCTTCGGTGGCCAGCCCAGTGTGGCGGCCGACGATGTCCGGTGTGAAAAATCAGATGCATCGACATGCAGGCTGGTCGTGGTCTGATTGGAAGTCATTGTCTGCACTGAAGCCATGATCTGCTGGGTATATTCGGTCTGATCGGTGGTCCTAGTTCGGACAGTTGTGGCCGCTAGTCATGGTTTCGAAAACTGTTTGAGTGACCCGAGGTAGTCGACACAAAAATGATACTTTGGAAGGCAGTCATGGAGCTTCGAGGTGAACCAAATGAAAATCAGTGGTGGTTACGAATGAGGCAATTTCAGCTTAACCTGGCTGTCTGCCGAGGCGTGGTGGCTAGCCAGTCAGTAATCATTGTCTGAGGAACAATCCCTGGCGCTGTCACAGGCCAGTTTGCATTGAAGCCAAGCGCAGTCAAAGTGATGGGTCGTAGCTCAGCTGCGTGTCCGGTTTCTGTGCCTGGTTGATCGTTGGTCCCGACGGCACGATTACATCAAATGAATGGAGCGCAATGCGAGGAGACAAGGACCTAAGCTTAAGACATTGGCACCTTTTCACAAACCAAGTTGCCATCAAGCTCGCAAGTCCCAAGAACTTCTGTCTCACCCATGCGCCTCCTGCTCTCGTCATTCGCCGTTGTGTCCGCACTCGTCGCTGCACTTTCGACATCTTCGACAATCGCCGTGCCGACTGAGTCTGATCATGCCCGACGCGCTCTTCGTACTGCAGGTGATGCGACCACGAGTGCAAAACAAGGGAGCGGTGCTCTTCACGGCACGTCTACGCTGGTGGAGGTCCCGTCGTCCAACCAAGAAGAGAGATTACTCAAATCTTACCTGTGGCTGTCCAAGATAAGAATGGATTTTGGAGATATCGTGACTTTTTTTCGCAAAAAGGGAGTCAATTTTGGAAAACAATCGAAAAAACTGAAAAACTTTGGTAAGGCTTTGATTCAGACGTGTAAGAATATCCTCAAGGGCGAGAGGTTGAAAATTAGTATGATCTAATTTTGTGCACACACATGTAGGAATCTCTATGCCATAGTCAACTGCAGTTGTTTTAATGATTCGACAATATCTTACTGCCATTAAATATTTGTGCAATCACTTTTTATTTTTTCTACTTTTTTCAATTCTTGGTGATGTATGTAAAATTCTCATATTGTAAGGATGCTCACATATCTGTCATGATATCAGGGTAGGGCTCCTCGATATGAACTTGGTTCCTCCATTTCATCTTTACGAAAAATTGTATTCTGGTCTTGGAATGATGCTACTGTTTTCCTTACACAGTTACACATAGATTTTTTGGTAGAAGTATTTGGCCCTTGCGTAAATTATAAGAACGTTAAATCTCTTGAGAATTAGGCAAGACGTAAGGATCGAATCTGAAAAAAATTTCCCCATGGTAAAGAAATGCTATCCCCACGAGAGCTTTGTTCTGCTTTGTTCAGCCTGACGGGTTCCGCATCCTGTCCAACGCAGGACGGGATACACGATGAGCCGGTCCGAAGACGCGCGGCCTGGGTATCCCGCAATATTCAATTATCTTATAAGTAAAAAGGGGCACAAGCTCTGAAGCTTGCCCTTTGATATGAGCAACGTATTTCATGCAAATGAATTAAGTTGCAAGACAGAAAACGACAGCAGCAGTCACTTAAAAGAAGTTTGATTCTGATAATGCTGAAATCAGCCCAGGACATGCTCATGCAGCAAAATTAAATTGAATGTTAAATGATGTTAAATCAAGGGGATTGCTAAATTCACACCCCTTTTCCTAAAATTCACACCCTTCCTTCAAAACCTTATATAAAATCCCTATTCATTTTAAGATTTGTTTTCTGACAAAGGTATTACTCGATACTCTAAGCCATTAATTGGCAAGCAATACGTAAGAAATACCTAAGATACTACTCACGCCCATGGTCACAGTAACCACAGGCGTGAGCATTCTCAACCAACCGTCAATTACATAATCGAACTTGCACAGCAACAGCTAGAGAGACGCATGATGTATTGAAAATGTACACGCCAAAGTCAATGTGATGGCTCTGCAATCGTAAAACTAATGTGTAACGGGGCACCCTGAAGCTTGTACTGGTGACAGTACAAGCTACTTATTCTGATGACAGAATAAGGCGGTGCCTCGTAACTTCACGTACACCCGTACGTGCAGAGGAAGACGGTAAGTGTAACGGGGTGTATCGTTACATAACAATTTATAAGAAATTGTTAATAGAATATAACTATAAGAGTTATATTCTCAGAATATTGTCATAAGGACAAATATTCTGTAGCACTTACGACTAGTTCCTAATTGGTTGATATAGGCCATTATATCAACCAACGAAGACGCGCCACGACAGACGCACGCAATGAGTGGTGAGCAGATAATTGATTTACACATTCGTATTTAGACATAGTTAGATGAAGATAAATAGTGGTTTATTGCAGACATTAACTATTATAAATACAGTTCTACTTTTTACTCTAACCAAGTACTCGCTTCTTCTTACCGTCTTCCTCTGCACGTACCAGTGTACGTAAAGTTCCGAGGCACCGCCTTATTCTGTCATCAGAATAAGTAGCTTGTACTGTCATCAGTACAAGCTTCAGGGTGCCCCGTTACACCTGATAGCACTTCGTAGTCCGTCCAAGGACCGCGTTCACATCCAACATGAATTTGTTGGATGATGAAGATGACCAAAGCTTTCAAACTACGCATGACGGCTACTCCCATTTGAGCGATGTCGAATGGGATGCGGTTGAACAAATGGGTTCAACCAAGGGCATCCATGCTGTTAGCGTCATGCTGGAGGCTCTCAATAGAGATGGCCAACATGCTACTATCGCCAAGTTCATTCAAAATGAATTTGACGCCGAACGCGAGAAAGTAGCCTTGCTTCACCAACAAGGCTGCCAACAAGCAGAGATGTTGAGAGAACAAGGTGCTCAACAGTTTGAACTGTTGAGACAGCAGCAGGCTGCTGCTGGTGGGTCGATGCACTCGCGTCGACCCGAGACTTTGAAGATTGACATCTCCAAGTATAGGGGGGTCGAAGAGGACTCCCTCTTGAGGTGGTTCGTCGAATTGGATGACGCCATAAGGGCGCGTCGCATCGACGACGGGGATATGCAAGTTGCATTTGCCCAGTCAAATCTGGCAGGACGTGCCAAGACTTGGGTTTTGGGGCTCAAGTTGCACGACCCATATGCGTTTGGGTCGTTGGAAGTCTTCAAGTCGCGGCTCAGACAAACGTTTGAACCGCCTAGAGCTGAGTTCAGAGCTCGAACTGAACTCTTGAAGCTCAAACAGGGTAAGCGTGATGTGCACGCTTACGCTCAACATATACGACATCTCACGAGTTGTATAAGTTCCAATCCGGTGGATGAACACACGTTGGTTTCGGTGTTCATGCAGGGTCTTGCGGATGGTCCCGTCAAGACTCACCTGTTCCGGCTTGAACTAGATTCACTAGAACAACCCATTTCCATTGCGGAACAGGAAGACTTCAGTCTGAGACAGGCTCGCGCCAGCTCGACATCATATCGTCAACCGAGACGATATGACAACGGAGGTCCAGAGCCGATGGAACTCTGTTATGTAGAGAGCGAGAAGGCTCGCTCTACAGGTTACAAGAAGTTGCAGAGATGCAACAGATGTCAAAAGACAGGACACTACGCTTGCGAGTGTAGTTCCCCTCGTCCAGTGTCTCGCGACACTGGGCGTAGTGACCGTCCACCCATGAGAAAGGGGCAGGGACGAGGGTCCGCTGTTGGTGCAAAGACGCAACAACGGGATGGACCGTCAAAAAACGGACAGGATCAGTAGGTGCGGAGCACCCTACTGGTCTAGCAACGTCAAGAGAATTTGTAGGCCTCTTGATGAAGGTTGCTCCCAACACACAAACGTTGTGCGTTGCTGCTCTAGGTAATGAGGTCTCACTCATTACCTTGAAACTCGAAGTGACGAATAAGTTGTCCCTTCGAGCTCTAGTCGATTGTGGGGCGTCCAACAATTTTGTGCGACGCCAATCGCTAGAAGATGGTCACTTTAAGTTCAGTGAATGTGACACACCTCCTACGAGGATGACGGTACGTCTTGCGACAGGCGCATCCGTAAACGTCATGAAGCGTATAGTGAAGATCCACTATACGCTAGAATATAACCAATATGACGATGACTTTATCGTATTGGATTTGGATGACAAATTTGATGTCATCTTTGGAATACCGTGGCTCAGAAGGTACGTACCACGAGTAAACTGGCAACATCGGACAGTAACATGCCTGCCGCTTGTTCATCAGATGGCCATCTGATGAACGTTTTGGAGCGTCCACAAGCGTGTGGATGTACTACGAGTGAGTGCGATGGCCTCACTTGTGGTACGGCCGTTAGTACTACTGTACAAAACCCTAGTGTAACAACAGTTACACTTCGGAGCAATAATCAGGCGGCTGTGAGGAAACACAGGCTGCGCCGAAGGTCCACCACTCGAATAAGTCGAGTGGACCGGGACAAAGATGTATCCCTAGCGGGGAACATCTAGAAGAGAAACAATCGGTCGCTCAGGTTAAGCGAAACGATAATCCTAGATCGACTGGAGAGTCTTTCGTAGAGGATCTCGCTGTGGTTGCGCAACCACAGCTCGAGGAAGTTACGGGAATAAGTCCCGATATTATAAATACGGCGGAAATCAGTTCCCCGAAACCCGCGGGAATAAGTCCCCGGGAAGCCGAAAGAATAAGTCCTTCGAAGCCTGAGGGAATAAGTCCCCAGGAAATGAAAGAGACATTGAATGTCATAGTCAATAACGGATCAAGTGTAGGCGCTTATACACTTGATCTGATTGCGCCTCCGAAGTTAACTTCGGAGATCACTCAGCTGCCAACGCTCGAACATAAAAGGTTCTTGCGTGATCTGCGTAGTGGCAAAGTCAAGCAGATCTGCGTACTCGTCGCTGACGACGAGTGTGTAACCGACATAAGGTCAGCAACAGTGTTCACTGAGAACGAGAGAGTTCTCAGTAGTTCATCTATGGACGAGAGTGTCCTAGATGAAAAGACACGAATTGAGCGATATGACTCCCAATCATGGGAATCGCTCAAGAACAATCCTCTCTATGAAGATTTGGTTGAATTCAAGGATGTATTCCCTGAAACTGTTCCGTGCGAATTACCGAAGGATAGAGGTATTCGACACGAGGTCGAGCTTAAACCAGGCTCAAAGTACTGTGTCATGAAGCAGTGGCCACTGCCTCGTGAACAAGTACTTGCGATCGACAAGTTCTTTGCCGATCGTTTAGCAGCGGGCCATGTGAGGGAATCAACTTCCCCACATAGCTCTCCGACCTTCTGTGTGCGAAAAGCAACAGGAGGGTGGCGGATAGTGCACGCGTTTAACAAATTGAACGCTGCAACGGTACCGGCTCAGACGCCGATACCGAGGAAGGACGTAATCATTGATGGTATGTCAAAGAGTACCATCTTTTCGTCCATGGATTTGATGGATGGCTTCTATCAAATCCTAATGCGGGAACGGGATATACCCTATACCGCAGTTAGCACGCCTAGCGGCATGCTCTGGGAATGGCTAGTAATGCCACAAGGGCTCAGTAATGCCCCTGCCACGTTCAACAGATGTGTATCACATCTGTTGAGACCAGTACGAGAATTCGCGCCGAGTTATTTCGATGACGTATTCATCCATAGTCGAGCTATGGATGGAAAGTCGGACGTTGAGGTTCACAGGTACCACGTCCGACAGGTTCTTACAATCATGCGAAAGCATCAATTGTATGCTAACCCCAAGAAGTGTATATTTGCAGCAAGCGAAATACCAATTCTTGGGTGCATCGTTGGTTTAGAACAATGTACGTCCTGATCCCGAAAAGATCAAGGCGATCACCGACTGGCCTGTGCCGGTTGATGTCAAAGGTCTTCGAAAATTCCTTGGGCTAGCGGCGTATTTGCATAAGTATTCACGCAATTACGCCGAGATGACTGTG